TGGGAGTCATGTCGTTACTTTGTTGAGAATGTGGCCGTGTAATAAGCGGGATAATTTGCAGTGACTTGTTCCTTATGGGGAAAATAGTACCCGTCATGCAGATCAGGATCCCTCCGCCACGCTTTGGGATCCTGATCTGCCGACGAGGCTCCATTAAAATATAAATATTTTTAGTGAATTACTGAGTTTAGGCACGTTAATAACGTTTTAATGAAGTTGAATACAGTATATTCATATGTGTCAGTGATTTCATGTCAATTCGGCGAACATAAACATAAATGATCGTGGTGAAGATGATGATTAAATTAGGATTAAAAATCGAGAGCCGGGCTGCATTTCCTCCTGTTCGTTTTTTTCGACTAAACAACATTATTTAGTTAAATAACAACATGGTGATGTTTTGTAAATGATTACATGTCTCTTATTTAGCACAGAGTATGATATCCGTGACATATGGATCTTAACAAAGTTCCGCTGTACATCCAGCGTACTGTATCTGACTTTATTTCACATGAGCTCCAGTGTGGAACTCCACTGCACCCCCTGGTGGATCAATGATCCATTGCAGCTGGCTTCATTATAATTACATTTATCTATCACGGGGGCATCACGGGGGCAGATCACGTACCAATCACGGCCCTCGCGTTTCAAACTGTCTGAAATGAATCGCTACATCTGTAGGTTTTTGTGCATGTAAAGGCTAAATTCCCAAAGTTCCTCGATCGGACTCCTTTGTTTACTTTGGTAACATAATGACATCACGCTAGCCGCTTTCACACCAAGTACTTAGCCGGTACTTGTCCCCGGTACTTGTCCCCGGTACTTGTTCCCCCCAAACTCTTTAGTCCATCAAACTGTCCTACTAGATCGCGTTCTCACCGGAATAAGTCCAAGAGGGAGGATTAGGCAAATTAAGCTGGCAGGCCACAAACAACTTCATGGCCACCCGCTGTACATGAGTAGTTGACTGAAGTTGTGGTTTTTGTGCTCATGTTATACAGCTTGGTGACTGAGTTATTTAAGCCAACTAGGGATATGACGCAAAAATGCAGAGCCACCAGTCGAATGCAATAGCAATGCTGGTTCGGAAAGCAAAGACGGTTAAAAAGCCTTAAGAAAAGGATTAGACGTTGGTGCGCTGGGCTAATGCAAGCAAATTAAATGGCGGCTTCACAAAACTTAATCGCTAGCAGGTACGATCTGGGGGTGAAAGGTTTGCGCGAACTAGGGACTAGGCCCAGATCCTTTTTGGCGTGAAACCAAATCCCCCCCCCTCCTATAGGCCTTGTTCGGGGATAAAAGTACTCCGGTGTGAAAGCGCTATATGTAACACTTGTGTTTCTATTGGCTTGCGCTCAAACTTATTGTTTGTGATAGGCTAAGATTGGGACATCTCTAATGGCGCATTTCCACCTACGGCCTCGCTCGGCCTCGCTCGGTATGGCTAGGCCTCGTTAGGACTGGCTCACTTTATGGTGCATTTCCATTACAGTTTAGGAGCTGGGGTAGTATCTATAGTAACACAGTGTAGGCGGAGCCGTGGCGTCATCTTCAATGAGAGCCCCGGAAAAACAACACAGCCGTTAGCTGTTAGCCCTCAGAGCTCACAGCTCCTCATATCTGTTCAGAAACTAGACAAAAGTTAAACAAGTACAAACCACATACTGTCTGTGTCATGGCGAATACAGTCGCTGGTTTATTTATTTCTGTATAGGCCGTTGTTGTGAGTGTGGACGGTCGGAGCATTTACAACGTTAGCTTAGTCACTCTCCATTTAGACAACACGCATTTTAAAAGGTTTTTTGCCTGCCGTCTGTCTGCAGACTTAATTCATGGTTTTTACTAACCGGTATCAGTATGTTGTTACTTCGGCATCATTTTGAAACGTGTATTACAATTAAATCACGGTCAAATATGTTCATCTTGTTGTAGTTGTAGCCCCCTTGCCAGCGATTCTCTCTCTAGTTTAGCATACTCAGCCCGACTCCTGGCCCTAGAACCACGACTTTATGGGGCCAGAAAAACTGTGAATTAGGACCCGCTAGCCGGTACTAACGGTATATGACGGTATCAGTCCCAATTTAAGGGGTCATTTCTCCCAAAAATTGTTTTTACTCACTATATCAACAGCCCCACCAAAAATATTTTCCACCAGCCGCCACTGGACCCCAGTATATCTAACATCTTCATTTTCTGATCAATTTTATAGATACATCTTATTACCTTTAAAATAATGCATTGTAATAAAGTGCATCTGTCTGCAGGAAGAAGAGCACTGTGAAGTCGGTGAGAGAAAATGATTACGTCATGACAGAGGAAAACGCGTACGAGACCAGCCTGGACATTGTCAGGTAGGAACAACCTGACATTTTTCTGAGAATACTTACACACTTTTACTTAGGTGGAGTTTTTATATGATCGTATTTCCACAGTGTGGTTTAAGTGATGTTATTTCAGAGAAGGATATGAATACTGATGACTAAGTTTTATCATTGCGTGTGTCTATTAGAAGCAAAGAAGACAGGAATGCTTACGACAACGTGGTGATGGACAGCACTGAGGACAAACTTACCGCCATGTGACCCTCCTGCCCTGATTCTATTGGCTGCCGTCCTCACCAACTCTGGACAGGGAAAAAAATACCTTAACTGTTGTTCGTATTTATTTTAAGTTGATTGAATCATTTACCTGGCTAACAAATATCTTCTAAGACTGTTTGATTTTTTTAATATTTAAATTATATTATATGTATTGTTAATACTTTTTGTGTTAATCAGTTAGTGTATCAGCATGTTTTCAGTCCCCTCTTGTGATTTGGAGCAGTGAACATGAGGACAAGCAGCTTTCCATCCCATGATCTTTCTGCTGATTAATAAGTTATGTTTTCTAACAAACTGCTGTGTCGCCTCCTTTCTGATCAATGGAAGACTGACCTGCCATTATGAATGAAACACTCAGAGAGTATGGCACATTTTACAATAAACAGTGAGCAGTACTGACCCTGGTGTGTGACTGAATCAGAAACTGATAGTACAACACACTGACCTCACACCTGAAGTGGAAAATACAAACACACTGACCTCACACCTGAAGTGGAACATACGGACACACTGACCTCACACCTGAAGTGGAACATACGGACACACTGACCTCACACCTGAAGTGGAACATACGAACACACTGACCTCACACCTGAAGTGGAACATACGAACACACTGACCTCACACCTGAAGTGGAACATACGAACACACCAATCATATTAGAGTTCAGGAAAAATCATTCATGGCATATTGTGTTCTCTTTATGGTTTCATTATACACAGATCATTTTTGCACAAAACAGAGTGGATGCTCAATAATTAGAACAGACAGATCATTCACAACATGTCTCTGTTAACTCAGAGCCTTCTGTCTCTTTGGATCATTATATGAAATCAAACTGAGCGGTTTTAGTTTTTCACTGAGTGATAGACAGCCTTAGCTGGATGTCTTTTGAAAATGTTAAAGTGACATTCGAGTTGTTTAATCCTTTTTATCATTTGTATTCTTATAGGTTTCTGATGTACTATTTATGCACATTCCTCAAAAACATTATATTTGGACAAATAGTATATTGGAGTCTGACTGATATATTATTGATCATATTCATTAAGTATAAGGGTTTATCTGATCAGTTAATGTGAGCAGACAAATGTTTATTTGACTTTTCAGCTGTACATTTAGTAGATAATCAACATTTTAGGAAAAAGAAAAGACAAAGTCTATCAAATCTGTTTTAGGAAAAATTCAGTTTTAGTTTGGAAGGTCTTATTGGGTGGGCTTAAAAGGTTCAACATGCGAGACACAAATACCAAAGACATCACTATTGTAACAAAAGGCGAGGGAGTACAAGAGAAAAACTGACATTGATGGATGTGTGATGATTAGATATTTTTGTGTGATGATTAGATATTTTTGTGTGATGATTAGATATTTTTTCAAGGGACTTTGGTACTGTGGCTTGCTGCACTGACAACACCAGGAAACAAGAGAAAATCAAGTCCTGTCCTGCACCACTTTGCTTCAAACTGCAGCGTGTTGTCACCGAGTGTCACATCAGGTCCTTTTTCCTGGTAATTTATAAAGATTGTTCAGACTGGATTAACATTAAAGGAGGAGGCAGAGAATTACATTTTCACTGTATAGTAAGTAACTCATCGTTCAGTACATTGTAACAATGGTGAAGTGACAGGATATTAAGATCTGTACTGTAGTAAATGAAACAAGAAAAGCCTTACAAATAAGGGAGTCAAATGGAAGACAAATATACTTGTGACGCAGGGAACTTCGTCACAGACCAGGGGTCTGCAACCTTTTCGACCAAAAGAGCCATTTTGCTCCTTTTCCCCCCAACATTTTTTGTCTGGAGCCGCAAAACATATTTCATAGCTTGATAGCTAATAAAGTTGTATTTATTGTTATATCAGACACAAACTACAGTTTTTTTGCATTTATTAGGCTATTTATTACATTATATACAACTGTTAACCTCTAATAAGAAACAAATAACTCCTATAAGGAGAATTAAAAATAATTCACAGGCCTACTTTAAAATAAATTAAACACAGCACTTGGGGAGTCCTCTGCACATTTGCTCAGAAAAAAAAATATTATTAAAATGGGTCCACTTTGAAATAAATAAAACATATAGCTGCACCCTAAAAAGAGTTAACGGTTGGGTAGGTAAGAATGGAGAAACCAGCTCGAGTGCGCTAGAATGTTGAAACACACAACCGGAAAAAATGTGCCTCTTCCTTCAGACTTCCTTACAGAGCCCCTCCTCCAACACACCATGCAACACACACGAACGCGCACATGACCAATGAGGGCACGAGATAAGTTTGTGCACAGATGGAAGGCTGACAGGCAGGTAGGCCATCCAGTAGGCTTGTTTGAGACAAGTGAGACCTGCGGAGACCTGCGCAATTGTGATCAACGTCTTGCTAGTGCGTTGCATGATGGTTAGTCATTTTGTCCGACTTGCTCTGGAGGCTCGCCTACATGAGACGTTGAAATCTCGCGGGACAAAGACGCCCGCAGCCTTGAGAGCAAGGCGCGGCGCGGCGGCGCAGTTCCTCTCCACGGGCTGCGGAAGCGAAATGCTTGATGGGAAACGACTCGCTGGTATCTCGAGCTGAGCGCTCATTGGTGGTTTTCACCACGTGCTGGGGATGAAACTCTCCAATTGGCTCGGCAAAAGTTTGTTGTTGTTTTGTGTCAGTTTTACGTCGCCCCTTCCATTCACACTTTTCATCATTGTTCCACAATGTTTATCATCATGAAATTAATATCCATATATGTTATACTATACTTGCACTGCTTACCGTTTTCATACTTATATATCTTAGCATATTCATACACACTGTTCATACTGCTCACAGGCTGCTGTGTATATCTAGTGTATTCATACCCCTCACTGTTTATTCATCATATATTTTATCCTGTAGATTGTGTACATTACTTTTCACTTTACTGCTTGTTGCACTCCTGGTTGGAAGCTAAACTGCATTTCGTTGTCTCAGTACCTGTAATATGTGCAATAACAATAAAGTTGAATCTAATCTTGAGCAGGAACAAATGTATTTACTTAGTACATATCTGACATTAACGATTAAACACGTGTGCATTCTTTATAAATGCAAACCGAGTCAAGCCGACTCCGGCGGTATGCACCTTAAAGTGGTTTGCAATCCGCCAAAAAAACAAGAGTAGAAGAAGAGGCCGACTCGGAGCTGTCCGACTTCAGGCGAGCTTTTTGAGACCTCCCCCGGCTGCGATCGGCTATTCTCGTCTACTTTCGAGGCGAGCCGCAACGCGTCTCAAACAAGCCTAGTGTGTGTGAGCTGCTGGTGGCCGCAGGCTGGGCACGTGAGCAGTTTATTGTGGCTGTGTCATTGTGTGTGTGATCTAACATTGGGTTGATCAGTTAATAAATGCACCGTCGGGTTATATCTTTGGGTTCTCTGCCTCTGCCTCGTTGCTTGGTCGGGCCGCTCAACGGTCAGTCTCACAATACTGCGGTTTATTTGCCTCACACTTGTCCTGTTCTTCACAACTCGGTGAAATGTGAAATATTGATATAATTCAGTGTGACTAACCTTCCCGAGTATATCGTTACTTCTGATGTCCCTCCAGAATAAACATCCAGAAATCCACTTAGGCATGGAAAAAAGACGCCTGAGAATCATCATGTCATAGGTTATTTTTCTTTTGTATTACTCCAGTGACGTGAACATAGTTCAACTGCAAATAGATAATTCTGCTTACTTAGTGAACAAATGTAGGGGATAAAAAAACATTTGTGTGTGTATATAAACAATGAAGGGTAGGCCTACGTTAGTAACAAAAGCCACACTAAATAATTCCTTCCCCTTGCATGTCCTCATAATTTCATTTTAGCAGTTGTACTTTTCGAAAGAATTTACTTCAAAGAGTGTCAATTCATTATTTTTTTATTGTGCTCTGACTACAAGATCTTATTTTCTGCAAATAGTACCAATGACAGGACATGAAATGATTAGGAAATTACGTAAAATAAAGTGCAACCTCAGCTGGTTTTTGGCAGCGACTCTGAAAGAGACCGGTGTGAAGGCTAACCAAAGCTGCAGGGTTTCTGACTGTTCACACAATTATTCAGACACTGGCACAAACTGATCGGTGCTCATATTAACAAAAAAAGACATCGTTAATTTCCGGCAAAAATAAATTACAGTTAATCAACTTTGACAACTACAAATAAAAGTAGCAACAATTAAGACAGTAATTATGACAACAAAAAAGCTGAGCATTTTGTAATTGATTGATATGTTTATCACAGGACCCTGCGGAGACAAACTGTTCTCCACCCTGACGCCTACAGCTGCTGCTAAATACTTCACTTACACATCAAAATGTGGTACCAGACGTTAGCAATACTAGAAGTTGATGTTCCGAAGAAACAACTACCTTCTCGTTGTAGAATTTAAGATTAAAAGCAACAGTGACATGTTGGACCGTCCTCTTGTTCTCCCTCTAAACTAAGGCTATGTTCATTAGCTTTTTATGGAAACCTACCTTCTCTAATATTAGGGATAGCTTTCAACATTTATAAGTAACACAGGTTATATATAAATATTACTTACTTTAAATGAAGAAAAGGGAACATTTTGGCAGTTTAGAATATTAGCCAATTTAAATGTTGTCTTTTCAACCAGCTAGCTGTTAAAGCTAAAGTACTATGCTAGCTAAGAATAAGGTTGCAGCAGGTGTTCATCAATTCAAACGTGCTAACGTGAGTGTTAACTAAATAGATATATGTTTCTAAATATAATCTACTTTGGTGTTGTTGAAGGGGTTTTTCCGTCAAATAAGCTAGGCTAATAGTTTCCTTTCAGTCTTTGTGCAAAGCAAGGCTAACCAGAGATGAAACTGATATCTTAAACGGCTAAGTGAAGATCCCTTTACTTTATTTGTCAGTCTGTTGCTTTTATTGACGTCTACATCTAGAAAGCCAATATATAATCTCCACGGATCATTGTTATTATAATCTTTCTTTCCATGATAACATCATGTGGAAGACACTGTATCTGTTGCCGGGGCCACAGGGGATCTCCAAGCCCACCAAGTCCTGAGAATCATCTCCATGGAGACACATGAGCATTAACATTTATATAATGTTCTCTTTTGTGTGTCAGTATGGATTTATTACTGGAAGAAAAATGCATTTGTATGAGAAATTAAAAGTTTATCAAAATATAGCACTTTTTATGAGAACCGAATAATTAAATCAAAAACTTTAACTTAACTGTGATTAAACAGAACATTTATGGAAAACTTCAGGATATGTTTTGTATACATACTGTAGGGACACTTTATCACATCAAACAGTGTCTCTATTACGGATCATAGTTTTCAATGTTCAGTTTGTTTTTTGTTTAATATAATTTTCTAAATAAGAAACTTAAGATTTCTCTGAAAATGTTGAACTGAAAACAATAAACCATGGACATATTCCACAGAAAAAAGACATGTGCAATCTGATAACGAAGTATTTTTAAATTTGTAGAAGTCTGGGACTGCAAATATGTTAGTAACATTTTTCAATTAAATTGAAATTAAATATTATATTTGTGCCAAAGATGTAAGAGATATTTTAAATTAAAGTCCCACATTTCCATTACCATGTTTGAAAATACAGTGTTCTTCCATTTTGATGACTAGTTTTCTTATCTATAACAGCTGTTTCTGTTTTAGTGTTGGAACAATCAGTGGTGTTAAAGTCTACACTCTCCCTTCTGGTGGCTTCCATATTTAAAGTAACTCTTCCTCTGAGGCTAACACTTCACCAGTCTTGGACCACAGAGGAGATGATAAGCTAACGTGAGCAGCAGTGTCAGAGAAAACATATTTCCCCTCCCTTTTGTTCCTCTGGATTATAAAGTTGTCTATGTGTATGACTGCATTCACCAGCACAGGTTGGATTTAAATGTTGCTCCAACGTGACTCCATATTGATAGTGTTTTGTTTTTAGATGTTATTCTGAGTTGGTAGTGTGTTTAGTAACAGAGTTTTCTTAACCTTTCTGTCTGGGGATGCCATGTACAAGTATTTCCATTTTTGTGGTTAGCACTAGCTAACTAAAACGTATTTGAGACCGTTGGATGGATTTGCCATTTTGTCATTCATGTGACTCAGATGATGAATCCCAGACTCTATGGTGTCACCATGAGGTTATGGTTTTGGCTAAAATATTCCATCTATTTTATGGATAAGATGTAGTTCAAACATTCACGCTAAAATGTGTTATAGTTGTCGAGTTAAAGATGTTTTGGTGTCACATGTTTCTCAGGATCACATCTATGGCCCCCGACCCCAAAGTTAAGAAACTCTGTTTAAGGTATTAAAGTAAGACACACAGACATCGGCGTTTTCACCCACAGGAAGTGTGTGTGTGTGTGTGTGTGTGCGTGTGTGTGTGTGTGTGTGTGTGTGTGTGTGTGTGTGTGTGTGTGCGTGTGTGTGTGTGTGTGTGTGTGTGTATGTTGACACCGTCTGATGCTGTTGCTTTGTTTTTGCAAAATGGAAAGTTCAGAGTTCTTGATCCACAATTATTTGTAGTCCAAGAGTCAAAAGAGTGTGTATGCATGCAAAGTGTGTGTGTGTGTGTGTGTGTGTGTGTGTGTGTGTGTGTGTGTGTGTGTGTGTGTGTATGTGTGTGTGTGTGTGTTATGACAGGATGTCCAGTGTGACGGTTCCTCTCTGTCTCTTCAGGATGCTGACGGCCTGCTCGTGCGTGGCCCCCTGCAGACTCTCTCCATTCACAGACAGGATCTGGTCTCCTCGTTTCAAACGCCCGTCCACAGCCGCCGTGCCCTGAAACACACCAACACACCACCATGCTGCATTAACAGTGTTGGGGAGACACTCATTACATACTTCCTTCCTAGTTTTTCATTGGTTCTCATCTGTCCTGCCTGGGACCAGCGGGTAGTATGGGCAGTGAAAATGCTGACAAGATGCCAGTTGCCTAGTCTAAAACATTAAAAAAAATGTATGTAATAAATTGCATTAGTTTAATGGAGTTAGCCAAATAGTTTAATTACTTGTTAGTGTTACTATTTCAAGGGCTACTAATAATCTGAAACCTTTTACATTGCATTTCCCAACAGTGGCTATTAATAATAACAATAATAAAACAATTCCACAACCTCAAAGTTCAGGTTTCTCATTTTAAAATCTATGTTTGTCAAGTTTATTTGTATTTCTTAGTAAAAGAATGTGAAGCTTTTACAGTAGCTGTTACATGGATATATTTACACTCAAATGTATATCCACTTAATGCAGGTGGAACAGTAGCAAAGTGACAATGGTAAAGTTAGCATTCTAATATCTGAAGAGCAGGGCGACAATTTGGAAGATTTAAATTACATTTCACAAACGTCAATTTATGAAACATTACACTGATTACGTTTGACTGAATAACGTCAGTTAGCTTAGCATAATCAGACTTATAAATAACTATAAAACCCACAGTTTTCTCCATATATGCAAACAGCAGTTACAAAGATGAATCTGTTTAAACTCTAATCTGGGAAGTGATGGATTAAATGGAACCTCGTGCTTTTGCTAAAGTCCAGACCTGTTAGCCTAGCTTAGCATGAAGACTGACAGCAGATGGAAACAGCTAGCCTGGCTCTGACCTTGCTAAAGACGGTCTTGACGTAGATGGGCAGGTCTCCATGTGGACTGCCGAATCCTCCAACGATGCTGAAGCCAAGTCCCTCAGATCCTTTCACCAGACTGATGCTGCGGGGCCGTGGGGACCTGAGGAAGAGCGTGGGGGGGTCAGATACACTGGGGCACTACAGTATTGTGTGTGTGTGTGTGTGTGTGTGTGTGTGTGTGTGTGTGTGTGTGTGTGTGTGTGTGTGTGTGTGTGTGTGTGTGTGAGCTCACTCTGGCTCGGCTGTGTGTGCTGACAGAATGGAGCCGCTGGTCAAACTCTCCACCTGAGTGGCGATGGCGCTGATGTTAGTGTCTGCTACCACCTGAGACACACACACACACACACACACACACACACACACACACACACACACACACACACACACACACACAGTAAGAAAGATAGTGTGTCAGTTGTTTAAACTGAATTTAAGCGATTTCATCCAAAGTGGCTCTCCAGTGATTTTACAAGTTTAGAGCACCCTTCACAGCTTTACTATCCAGGAAACTATTAGGACATGTTTCAAAATCATCTGTCCTTCATTAAAGATCAGGTATTAAACTGTATTTCAACAATATATTATAGGTCTCAGATATAAAAAATATATGTCTGAAGTTTTCTGCTCAAAACACCAAACAGATTGTCGCATGCCATAAACCCCTCTGTTTCAGCCCTGTTCTAAAAGTGCTGAACACTGCGGAGGAGAGGCGTATCACATGACACAGACACACAGAGCGGCTGCGGGGGCCTTACAGTAGTTGGTTTGTTGCTAATGCCGTAGCCTACGACCCAAAAATGACGTAAACTATGAACTTTTACGTCGCGTATGAACCGAAACCTTTTCGCCCGTTTTTTGAGCAGCGTTCACATACTTGGATCAGGACGGAAAGAGAGACAACCTTTTTTGCTGAACATTTCTGATTGTCTGGGAGACATGTCATGCTTTTCTGGTTATTACCCGTCCCCTTGTGTGTTATGAAGGTTTTTATGCATGTAAACGGTCTGCAGAGTCACAAACCCTCAAAGTAGACATCGCTGGGACACTATATATCCTGCCACTTTTGTTGTATAGCAAAAATTTGACCTCTCTATTTTTTTTATCACGTATTTATTTTATCATTTTTTTCTAACTTACTTGTGTTTTCATTTTATGCAATGTACATAAACAAAACCAGATACCATCAATAACATAAATACAAGAAAGTATGAATAAAATAAAAAAATAAATAATATATTACATATATGCACTAAGGATTCCCACATACTCAAATGGGGGAGATCAGAGTCATAAGACGAATTTCAACGTGGTCTAAAACTTTCGTAGAATGTGGGGAGTTTCTTAGCCTTAACTCTTGGCAATTCTATTGGCCATTAAGGCTTTTCACCTTAGCCTTAGTCTTAGCCACCTTTAAGTTTTTCTATGGGTTGAGATCAATCTATCTAGTACAGTACCGGTAAAGGTAGACACTAGTATTAGGAACAACTACCAATGATCTTATCTAAATATTAAAACATATAAAAGGTTTGAAGTAGTAACCAAGAGTATGACTAGAGACATTTGATACACATAAAGTGACTTAAAGTGAGAGAGGAAATTGCCGGAGCAACATCGAGGTTATCAGGTCGGAGGTGGGAAGGGACACTCGTGTCACACGAGCACTAACTACCTGCAACACTTAAGCACGACTCGACTCGTGTGGTGTTTCAGTCGGCTTCATTTGTGTATAACATTCACACCGAACTATTAACTATTCTTTTTCCTAACTATTAGCGACACCTTACCCAGACGTCTCTCTTGAAAGCTGCGCAAGGTTTGACAGGGACAAATAGTCGGACGTAGTCCTCCTTATTAGGTCGTCTCGACGACGATGACTCACACACCACAATGGACTCCTTCAGACACCTAACCAGTTAAACCTGTTAGGTCGGACCAAGTATACGAAGAACCACGCACCACTGAGCCCACAAAGTCAATAGCAGATGTATATCAGGTCCTTCTTGTAATTCTTTTTAAGAGGTATGCTCACAGCAAAACCCGCGCCAGAAAAGACACCAATCTCAACATGAAGGGAT